CCCCCTGGCACGTGTGGAGACCCCAGACGAGACGAGAATTTCCCCCTGATTAATACCAAGATTATTTGCAGTAAGCTTTCAAACAAACAGTTTAAAATAATGTTTATTTAATAACATGCAATATTTGTAATAGAAAAATAAAACTGGTGATAAATTTAAAAACTCAAAATCATGCTTCTGTAACATCGTTCTTCCAATCTGTCAAATAAAATATAGCTTCCTATGTCATTCCACTTTAATAGCCATGGTCAAAATATTTGTAATCTGAAATTGTTGGTATAGAATCTGAGTTCAAAAATAGCTGCATCCAAAAACTAAAAGAAGCTTTTTGGATAGAGAGGTTTAAACAGAATGTATGAGGGTAAATAAACTATCTCTCAACTTACCACTTCACTACATTTTTCATTAGCAACTTTCTCGTATTGTGATTTTAAATTTGCTTTGTCTCACCATCCCCTAACGATCTATGGCACTTTAGAGCGATTCACGCATACTGCATTTATGACTAATCATCATGTTTATATCAATATGGTATTCTTTCTATGCAAAAGATTTATTACCGTTCTACACATATTTATATAATATTTCTATATTCAGCTTACAGTCAGAGATAAAGTTTAATAACGTGTATGATAGATCGACCCGAAACGTAACTAATAACTATTTCGACTAAAAGGACGTCGGATTGCAGTTTCTATTTCAGACCATACTGTAATATTTGACTTCGGGAAATCTTTATTGATCTGTCCACCAGTACGCACTGATTAGTCAAAACAGAGGATGAACCCAGCTCAGAAAGTTACAATGGGTGCAGGCCCTTAGCCAGAACTTTTGAATAGGGGGTTCGAAACAACAATAATATATTTAATGTGAAACGTGTGAATTTTATAATATTCAAAAATTGAGCTCTGTTACAGACATTTATATATTCCCGGTTTTAAATTCAATTGGTTTACTTTGTGTTACGTTGGTAAGTTATTTCACATAACATCTTTGAACTATTTTACCATTTTGAGAAGGGGCTCTGAGCCATTCCCCAGCCACAGACAAACACACCCACACCCTTGATCCACCGCGGCAAAATGGTGTACACAAAAAAGACAAGACTGTACGTATCTTAGCATTATTGTCTAAGCATTTTAAGGTAGAATGCTACTCACGAGGTTTTTCGTTCTTCGCAGATGTTAGCGCACATAAAAGTGACTCGATTTCATGTCGAAATCTGTCTACAATTATTCCTTTTAATATTAGTAAATTTTGTATTATGTAATTTTATTTTATAGCACGTTTTAAAAACAATACAAAATCCATGTAAACATATGGTACTAAGTTAAGCTGGCTTCATATTCATCTCGTCGCTTGAAAACTTTTAAAAGATACAGAGCTTGTTGACACATGGTGTGGCAGTTTGTGTAGTGACGAAGTAAGCCTAGATTGTCAGTATTTGCATAATTGCATAGGGTTATTGACAAAAGATCAGCCCTTAGATCATTATATAATGTACATATAAAAACAAATTGAATTTCATTTTCTACCATGCTAAATTCAAACGTATCACTGCAAAAACAACAAATTTATTGATCAAACTGTATTTTCGTATGTCTGCCTCATTCAACATTATGTTTATGGCCAAAACAGCAAAAACTCGTCATAAATATTTTAGTCTATAATTGCTTGCCAATAAATCTCCAAGGTTATAATACTACTTTGATTTTTTCGAAAGTACACAGCCTGGATGATTGTAAAATTGAGGCATGCCATTCTTACTGACAACATTTTTTATTCTTTGAGTAAATATCTCTAAGAAATTTACAGTATCTCCAACTTGTTTTTCAAATCAGGCAATGCTGAAACCATATCTGAACAGGAGATTTTTATATGGGTTTTCCAAGTAAGTCTGCCAATCTTGTCTAATCGTGTTAGCATGATATAACATGTTTTGGGGTTCCAGCTATTTTTTACTTCAAGTAATTTTAACCAATATGAGATACAACGCTTGAAATATCCACAGCATAATGGCAGCCTTCCACATTCGTCCAACATCGCTACATTGTTTGCACAACTATTAACGCTAAGTAGATATCTGCAAAATGTTGTCTGTACCCTCTCGATTTCCGAATTTTCGTACACCCCTATCCCTACCATAAGAAATAGCTGGCACAATGATTGCATCAAACAAATTAAATGCACTAACCAGTGGCATACTACCAAGTTTCTTACAGTATGTAAATTTGTTGGTTCATTGTAAATCTGTTTTTAGAGGGCGGTAAAATAATTTGCATATAGTGGTAGTTTAGCAGCGGTCTCACTAGACTTCAATGACTACATTTGTTTTGTATGAACCCTCTAAAAATATAGTAAATTTTTTAAGACATCACAAAAAAAAAACGTGTAAAAAAATATGTTTGAAAAATATGATTCATCGCACAGTTTCAGTGCTGAAGCAACACTGTGGGGTAAATTGTTGGCTGCAAGATGCTCTACGATCTATACAACTCGTGATTTTTTTAATGATCTGTTTAACCCGTAGCTGTACACTATTGTCCAATAACACAGGCTACACGTACTTACAATAAGTTGACTACATTTGGCTGATACACATAACAAAACAGTATATATGCCATCATTAACTTGAAGAAAACAAAACTAATGAACCAAATTATGAAAGTACTGTGTCGTGTTGTCGTGTCAATCCCGTTCGATCCCCACACTTTAGTAATTGAGCGAACACTAGCATAAGACAAACGGCACCACATCCTTCAATGATGACTACCATTACATTATTGTTTCAATGTTGTTTTAATATTTAACATCAGCTGCTTGAACGCGATCTTCATTACACCATCGCGGAATCACCGAATAAAAGCTTGCCCATTTAAAACAACTTTTCTTTATTTGCTGCTGTTGAGCTGACACGGCGTAACTTCACCATTGACATTTAAAATCCGTAATTACTATACAATTTCGGCTGAGTCTGATAGTTACCTCACTGAGTCAAGTGATTTAAACGATGAAAAATATTTTAATTAATACTGTTCATTATGTTCTAATCTACGATCATAATTCTATTCTCTTACAAAATTTAGGGGGTTCGTCCGAACCCCCCCCCCCAAACTACGGGCCTGGTCTGGCTTGTAGTATTTATTTATAAAAAAATTTTAGACAAGTTTGAAAACGCCGCCAACGTCCATAGTTTGAAAATGAAGTTATAGTTGCCGGGACTCAATTGTTTATACACTTTGATGCTCACGCTTTGTTATTTACATTCAATGCGCATATTCGAATTTATTTAGCAATGAAGAAAAAATACATACCATCCTGCACCACTAGTATTGTATTGTCTGGGGGGGGGGGGTAAGCACATTTCACTTCAGTGTGTAACTCCCGATGTATATATTGTTGTATCAGGTGTTTGTGAAAATGACTGTCTACTAAGTGTGACTAACAACGGCATATGTGAAGACGGTGGGCCAAATGACGAAGCTGGAATTGATTTATGCAGATTTGGCTATGACTGTGGTGATTGCGGCGAACAGCAACTCAGTACGTGACTTATACGCGTTGTCTCGAGAATTTACTAGCGTGACAATTACGCCATGTCTGTACTACCCGTAAAGTGATGACGTATAACATACTTGTGTATTTCATCTTAGGTGCAGGGTTGTTACAGTGTTACGTGTGTGATGACCCAGAATATGAAAACGTCATGGTTTCCAATGACAACGCCAATTGCTTCAAACCTAAACTATGCAACCCCGGGGAAGACTATTGTTATTCTGATATTCAAGTAACAGGTAGGTTCGTGTTGTAATGACGCCCTCAAGTTGACATCGTTCTGTTCACTCGTTTTTGCAATCACTATGGTTGTCGATCGTGTTAAATTTACAAATTAACGTGCTTACGCGATACACCGAAGTCACTTAATACACTGCTCACGCTACTGTAGTAATTCAAGGTTCAAGACTTGAATTAAATGTTGTAATTTCTTTGACGCGTAGATGGGAAGGTTGTTTATTATATATTTGTAGGTGCTGATTTCCTAATAGAGAAGGGCTGCTCGTCAGCGCCAGATTGTTCCGATGTCGAATACGAAGACAGCGAGGATTCGTGCCAGACCAGCCGCCATATTTGTTATGATTTGAACCTTTGCAACGAAAATACAGCGCACATGGCCACATTCCAAGGCGTGGTCTTGCTAGCATCGATATTTTTCTCTGTATATACCTACTAGATGTTGAACAATGTTGTTTCCTATTTCTCGCATGTATTGGTTTGGTATTTCTAGAAGTGAGTTACTACTTGTCATTTTGGAGGCAAAATAAATATGAAACATTACTACTTTCAAGATAATGTAATTTATTCGAGACTGAATTTGACACTTGATAATGATATTATTCTCACTCATCGGACAATACAGGTTGATGTTTACATTTCTATCCTCATATATAATCGTAGTATGTGTAAGCCAATTATATCTCCAGTCAAATGTATACGAGTAAATTCAATAAAAATTCCCAATAAACTAAGATATCTGACTTAAGGCCATTCGCTGGTATTTCAAACTATTTAATAAGGTGAAAGTTTTATCATCATATTTTGATTCAAAATTGCAACCTTATGATAGATTTTGATATAAGCAAAAGTGTTTGAATTATAATGTTTGTACCGGGTACAAATCATGGTTTGAAAACAAAAATCGTGTTACAAAATTCCCCAAATAGGCATTTTTAGAAAAATTTCAATAAGAGTCCATGTAAATACATTATTTCTTGGGAAAAGAAATAGGATTCCCTGGAATATTCTAGTAATTGGTGACAATGAGATGTATCCATTATATTATAACATACTATTTTTTCACTACACGTCACCAAAATATATTCTCAGACATGACTTTTCCCCATACGAACCAATGTTTACAAAAAAGTGGTTCCGAGACCATATGTATTTATACGATTTTTGGGAGTAATGTAAAATAAAAACCGTAGTGTAAAAATCGTGCAAATATCGGTTATAATACCCGCAATGACGTTAAAGCTTCATTTAAATGTTGAGTTGATCAGACAATTTTTTAACAAGTGTATAGACAGGATAACACATTTCAGGCACGTACCTAAAATTGTAAAAGCCGTTATGAAACATTACACATTTATCACGGGAATACACTAAACTTGATACGCATTCCAAGACACGTACCGTCGTACACATGGTGTCACTTTGAGTGTGACCCGGGACTAACAAGGAACAAAGCACAACCGATAAGGAGGATTAAATTAAATACATCGACTGTGATGGCGCTGTAAGTGGCATGCTCATTCTGGATTCCTTACATAAATCTTATACTGATCTTTTCTAACTCTTCTTACAACTTGTAAATTCGCGAATAAACACGGTTTCCGTGAATGAGGCGAAATATACCTAAATGATCTGAAATACTGTGATTTCTTGATGACCATGATAGTAACCCATGGTTACATAGCTGGGTACCGGATAAGCAAGTTCTTTAACTGACCTTTTGTCTTACAAGCATCCCGTCCCCATCGATTTTGAACCAAAAAATGTGTACTATATATAAATACGAAGAAGAATACTAAAAATACGATATCCAGATGTGATCAGCAACCAGGAGTTATGGGAAAGAATGAGTCAACAGAGATAATTCAGAGACGCTGGTGCTGGCTAAGATATACCCTACGGAAACCAGTCCAAAACATCACAAGGGCAGCACTGATATGGAACCCACAGGAAAAAAGAAAACGAGGTCGTCCAAGAAACACCTGGCGACGGCACCTATAGAGGCCGATGTCCGGAAGCTGGGCTATACCAGGGGAGCGGTGGAAAAACTGGTACAGGACTGGCATGGTTAGAGGAATCTTGTTGTTGGCCTATGTCCCAAGAGGGGTGATAGGCATAACTAACTAACTAACTAACTAACTAACTAACTAACTAACTAACTAACTAACCAACTAACCAGTATATATTAAATATGGCAAGTATGATACCAGTTTAACTGTATTGTATATGTATAGGTTTCAATGGTGTGTCATGGCTGCTTTTACAAAAGACACTAGAAAATAGTTTCTAGTAGTTTTAGTATTTTCTAGTGTCTTTGCGTAAATGTGTAGAGCTATTGTATGTATGTTGTAATGAGTTCAACTTTCGGAAATATCATCAGAATGTTGACAAGGATGAAACGCAAGTATACAGATTAAAGTACTTTATTCGAACATAAAAGAACAAAAACAAAACGAGTTATATATACGTAGTCATTTATAGTGAGCCATATTGACACAAAAATATCGAAAGGAAAATGCTAACAATAAAAAGTCCTGTTTTGTTCCAATTCAACACCAAATAGTATAGTGATAGTGTTTATATTTCCACCAAAAAAAACGCAAGATATATACTATACGTATGCATACAGTAATCCAGTATACGATATACACATATTGTCGCTGGTGGCGCCATAACTATCATTAACAATGCACTAGTTTCACTGAAAAACGAGGCTCGCGCACTAATATAATATCCGGACACATCACATTGAGGTTACACACCAAAGTTATAATTTGTATCAACGGGGTCATATCGGCAAAAACCAAGTAAAGAGCGAACCTGAGCGCAAAGTTGCTAAAGGACGGCAGTCGACGCGCAGCGCATGCGCGATATATATGGTTCTCATATAAACAAAGATGGCGACCCCGCCCTTTAATAAATCTGAGAAATGAAGCATCATGTGTCTATCAAATTTAGAATGACATCATATATTAGCCGTGCACATCCCCGCCGTTTCCATAGTTACGCTAACCATATAATAATTATATATACTTTTGCTTGCTTATCTTTGTATTCTATTCTATTCTATTCTATTCTAAATATTTACATACGAACCAACATTTCTTGATTATTATTTAGAAAAAACAAAGTTATACAGAAACTAGTAAATAAAAGAGCAGTACGTACTCGTAAAGTAACTGACGTCATAAGTCCAACTGCAATTTGTCTAACGTAAGATACACAAAACAAATTCGTAATGACCTTCAACATATTGCTTAGAATTAGTACAATTTTACAATATCACAAAGTGTGTTGAAACCTCCCTCGTCCTGTTGATATTAAAGCGGGGGAGTCGTCACCTGCGCATGCGTAAGATGGCCATAGCGTGTCATTGTTTACAAACAAACGTCTACCCATGAGCCTTTGCGTTTTTAGCGTGTGTTGTTATCGTCGCTTGGGACTCAATTCCTGCGCGTGCGCAGGTGACGACCCTCCCGCTTTAACTCTCACAGGGCTGATAAAAGACGATAGGGTCACAATGAACAGGGAGGTCGTGACAAATTTGAGGTTTGTCAAAAAAATACAGCCAAAAGGTATGCAATTTTTTTGGTAACCTAGTCTAATATATCACTGGCAACGAAATACAATTGAGCATACAATACACGTCATAGTGTTGCTATAGTATATCTCTATATAGAAGTGATTTGCATAAATACTATTGAATTTTACTTTGGCATACACACGTCATGCTAATACAGGTGAGGCGATCTACAAATAAGGACTGTACTTTTCATCACACTCGAACACTGGATTCAGCCGAAGCTTCATGAGTTTATCTCTACGATGGTCAGTCAGAGTCCTGAGGTATCCAGACGACCCAATGACTCCATGTACGCGTCCATCGGCACCTTTCACAGCCTGGCCCATGAATATATATGACTCTCCATCTAAAAAAAAGTAGTGCCAAATCGTAATATTAGTTTCATTCGATCACACAAACGGATTTTTATGTGTGGTTTAATGGGGGTCACGGAAAGTGTAAATGTTACTGCGTTACTCTCTGTAAATAGAAAAAAATCATACTGAATTATTTACGTTGATCCTATATTGCCAATTTACTTGTTGGTACATTATAAGTGCGAACATTAATTCACCGAATCGGTGTTCAAACATATTACCAAACATGGGTAGAACTAACAAATGTATCAACGAAAATTAAATTGATACTATGAGGGAATTAAATATTATAATAACGACCCTTTTCCGAACATAAATGGATTAGCTTGGACGATGTTTATCATGTTTGCATGGAAGCGAGAATAATACATGTTATTGACAAAAATAATGACAAAAGGTGAAAATGAACATGAAATACATGTTTCCAGTCTACTTTACTGGTTTCAACTTCACCGGCGTGTATCTCTTATGTATTTATCATCTCACCTGATCTGACCGCGGGACAGAGGCAATCACGCCCAGCCTCAGTTCGCAGGTACATCTCAATGACCTGATCCGACACTGGCATCTCAAGACCGGTGTTCTTATATCTACCGTCGATGGCGATAGTAACTTTTACACTTGTGTCATCGACGCTTCGTAACTGTGTTACTTTACCAGATATAGCTATGAACAGCAACAGATTATAAAATAAATATTAAAAAAATACAATACAGTATCACAATGTAAAGTAAAACATGATGTCATTTGGCGGCAAGGAGATATAACGGTATCCATTTCAACCGACGGATGGTGGTGGTGGTGGTGACGACGGAAAAGCTTGAGAAAGCTCTGTAGTATATTTTTTGAGGAAATTAAATTGTATTTCGATGAGCGCCATATCCTTCCCTTGAAAATTAGTAATTTGGCTATCTGCTATAG